AACCAGAAAACAATTGTTGGTATTAAGTCACAGGTCTGCACCAAATTTCATTCTCTTCATATTCAAACCAATTCTATGGATTAAAAACTTCAACATGCATATAAACTGGCAATAGTTCTAAGACATAACCCTCTGAGCAAAGAATAGTCTCCAAGTTTTGATCTCTTACTCGTAGATCACAAAAAGCAAAAAGCCAAACAAACAGAAATAAAACAAAAAACCCACCTCCAAACAAGTCAAAATATATTTGACTGAGAAAAAGAGCATTTGAAGTGGGACAAGAATCTCACCATATCTGAAACAAACTCACCTAAATTATCAAGCCATGTTGATAGATTAAATTACTAGTCCCATTTTTAAAAAGCTGCAAGAAATGATCCAAGGAAAGGAAGGTAATAATGGCATAACATGGCTTAATCCCCCTGCTTTTTGGTAAACAATATTCTATTAATGAAAGGTATAAAGAACTGCAAAGAATTCACTACATTCCCCCAATTTCTAGGAAAATCAAACAAATTTTAAAAAATGAAGTATAAATCTACTTTAATATTAAAAAGTTGCTTTCCCTTAAAAGCTTTCCCATTCTGAAATTATGGCTTTTAAAATTTACACAAATCAAACATAATTATAATAAGCAAAGAAATCAAACCTGATTTACTGGCAATCATTTTCTAACCTAAATTGTACAAAAGAAAAGCACTAAGAAACAAAATAGATGGCATCATGGCATAAAATAATAAATTTTATTAAAGTCCGTTATATTAAAAAAAAAAATCTAAAAAACAAAACTTAGAAGCCAAGTCACATCCTCGCTTCACTATGAAGTTTTCTATATTTTTAGGTTCCAACCGGTCAGTTTTAAGCCATGAATTTCCAACGTTAGCTATTCAACAGACAAAAAAACCCCCGAGTACTAGCAGAACCATGTAAATAAGCTAAATATTTTACCTAAAATTGTTTTTCTAGAAAACATATTAAGTTTGCCTTTTCCCTGTTTTAAAAGGGTGGTTTTATTTACAAAGGATAGTTTAAACTGAAGCAGAGTTTTTTCATATTACAGACAACTAATAACATTAATGTGAATTAAAATAATGGAGATGGTAAAATTAGGCATCTGTAACATTTTCAAATTTAAGAAATTTATCTGAAATCAATAAAAACAACTTTAAAAACGAACCAAAAATTTATAGTGAAAGAATGCCTCGATGGCACTCAGGATTATACTCATTGTTTTATTCTAAAAAGGTAAGTACTACAATGAGCTACTTATAATTCATTCCCCTGGCTAAAAGTTTTAATATTTTAAGTGTAACAGCTGCCACCACCACTACTCAAAAAGAAAATATGGTCTGAAGGTAATGAAATCAGATCTGGGGGGTAATAAAATAATTATCTGTTCTGCTTTAAACATACTCTGATTTTTAAAAAGCCAATTTAAGCCAAAAATAATAAATGTACAATGTATGGAAATCTTATGTTCCGTACTTGAAACTGCAAATAACTAAATACTCCAAAGTCCCTTACCTTATCAATTATCTTCTGAAAATGAACCTCTACAGTACAACTCTGAATGTCCTTGTGTTCATCGGAATTGTGTATTAGTACTGAAAGTTTTTTAGATCTTATTTTTTGTGCTCTATAGCCAAACACAAAAAGCATAGAATCAATAACATTGGATTTGCCACTGCCATTTGGCCCAATAATACAGGAAAAGCGCTGCATAAAAAGAACAGAAAAAAAATTACAGTTAAAAAGGTCATACCATACAACTGATTTTAATTTAAACTGCTTGCCTTTTTTACTTGCAGCAAAACTTAAGTATTTAAAAGGTTTCATTTCAACTTGTTTTCTTACATCATGTTCTCCTTTATCACAAGCTTCAACACTTTTAATAAGACCATATTCTCATTCTAACTCACTTTTTACAAAATTCATTCTAATAGAGAAAATACTTCCTTCAAACAAAAAACTCACCAATTCTATTCTGTGAGGGGAAACTTAACAGCTAAAGTCGTACCAAAGATAACCAGCATAAACAAAAATTATTTTCAGTTGTTAAAAACACAGGAAACATACCATGTGTTATCAATCAGGATGAACATGATAAAATTGATTTATCTTGTAATAAAAACACATGACCCTATAATAGTTACTTAAAACAGTCAAATACCTTATGAAAAGGTCCCAGAATTTTTTCCCCAGCATAGGATTTGAAGTTCTGGTTTACAATATGAGTTATCATAAGCCGAGGAGCTCCAGCTTCATTGGCCATTGCTGGAGGCGGGGGAGGAGGGATGCTATTCAAAATTTCTTCTAAACTTCTATTATCAATTTCCTCACTTGGTGTCTCTAGGTCAGTCAAAGGAAAGGGAAAGCAAGGGGGGAAAAGCCTATATTAGTGCAATTAGTTCGGAGAACTACTGCTTGCTAATTTTTGGAGAAATGTTATTTATGAAACCTAGGAATCTGTATTTTCCACTTCAATGTATTATCCTAAATTCAGGAGAAATGAAAATCTTTCAGCTTGGTTTTATAAAGAAAGAAATTCTTAAAAGAAATAACCATCAGAAATAACCTACAAAAATACATCTCTTAGAAGTCAAAATGCTACAACATAAAGCAGGTCTGGGAAAACCAGAACAACGTTATTCTCTGCTCCTCACCTAAACAGGTGGTTAAATCCTAAGGCTCTATTCCCCTTATCTCTGAGTACCGGGAACCTTAACTCTGCATACTCAAGAGCTCCAGCGACCCTGTCACAGGGGCTTTCTAATGTCACCCAATTCCCGTACTCACAAAAGCTACAGTAGTTTCGAGTAAATTATTATCTCTTTAAACGCAATTTAAGACCAGGGAAGTTAAGTTATGGCCAAGGAACTTTTAAGATGCAATCATGTTAATTCTGTCCTAAAAAAACTGTATACTAGCTATTGGCTTACCATACCGACTTCCGTGGAAATACAAGGCCACAAATTCATAACTGTAGCCACGTACTTGCCCCAATCCCCTCCAGCACCGTTATATCGAAATTGCACGAAGACTCTCATCTCTGAAAATTGCCAAATCGCTTTCTTGAGCTGCTCTATGGGACCGACACGCGACCTACAAACATCAACTCCGCAGCCTCTCACCTCCGCGCCTCCAAACACCAGTCAGTCCCGGGTTAGGCGCGGACCCACTCTGGTCTCCCAGCACGTTTTCCGAGGGAGTCGCGGTGGGGGTACTCACCTGCGGTAGCAGGGGCCGGGCTGCCCGCGCGGCCGGGCGGGGGTTCCGGCTCCGCGTCGCTGCTGGTGCCGTCCGGGGACTGAGGCGGCTCTTCCCTTCTGCGCCGGGCGGTGGAAGGTTGGGTGCCTTTGCGGGGCATGGTCGCTGGGGCCGGGGGAGAGCCAGGGGCTAGTCAGCCCGCCAAGCCGCAGGACAGTACCGGTACATTCCCCGCTGGAGCCGGCGTCGGATGGGTTCAGCCCCCACCCCGTCCCACTTGGGGGAAAAACTCTGCCCGTTTCCGAGAGCCCAGTTTAAAATACGCCGCTCGACGCCAGCGGGTGCTCGGTAAAGAAGGCACGAAAAACCCAAGTGCCCAAAAGGCGGGATTCGTTTTAAGTCCGAAGCGAGTGGGAAAACCTAGACGTGCCTGGTTGTCAAGCAAGGATAGAACTGCCTAAGTTCTTTTTATTTTCTTAATGCCTCCTACCCCCGTCCCCCCACAGGTGTAAGAATCTTCTCCTTTAACTTTCTAACGAAATAATTCCTGTACGCGGGCATTTACTGACATTCCCACGCTGCGGGGGTTAGAGAAGCAAGCTCACAGACTCTGCGAGAAGAGTTCTACTAGCTTCAGGTTCGGGGGGACGATCAACTCTTCCTAGAGTAGCTAATAAGACTAACGGGCGACTCGCCGTCTACTTTCCCCGCCATTTAGCTCTCGGCGCCGTTGACGGCCCGGGGCTTCCAGGTCTCCTCAACACCGTCCGACCCGGAAAGGCGGCAGGAGACTGGGGTCGAGACTTATTTGTCTCGACTTCCAAATCAGACATATGCAGCGCCTGCTCCAGCTCAGTCATCTTGGGGTGGCGGGGTCTGAACCTCCGGGGCCCATTGCGGAATCTCGTTGGACAATAAACTACAAAAGGTCACCACTAAGGGTTCAGACCCGGTGATTAGTCCCTTGAGAGAAGAGAGAAGGTCAGGGGGCCGGGGCAGGGGAGACGCCCTTTCCCCGACAGAGACCAGGATTTCTGAGAAAAGATCCGTGAGGCTTAGAGTCTGCGTCCCCCGCACCCCCGCCGAGAGACGCTTAAGTAGCTCAGAGAAGTGGCGCCCGCGAGAAGCGCGCGGGAGTCCCGACTGCCGGGAGGCGGCCGAGGGGGGAGGGGTGACAGCGAAAGAAATCTCCCGGCGGCAGCCTCAGCCCAGAGCGGACTTCGGCTGCTCCAGCTCAAGGCCTCTACTTTCCAGGCGCCCGCAGACGGGGCAGGAAGTAAGAGTGTGACAACCTGATCAGGAAAAGAAGTACTTTACCTGCGGGGTAATCCACGCACACCGAAGCTGAAAACCGTTGTATAGCACCCCCGCTTCTACCGGTGTTTCGGCTCCGGGTCCTTCACTCGAAAATGGCGCCTAAAATACAAACTCGAACGGAAATTCGTTACAAATGCGCGCAATGCTTTCTGGGAACCACTAATTTGAAAAAAATGCGGCGATTACCACCGCCATCTTCTGGTCGCTTACACGCATGCGCGAACTCCTGGCGGGACCCTTGTGCCAGGGCACTTTTATAAGTTAAAAGGTAGAGCGAAACACTGTTTTGTCTGAGGCCTACGGCAGCAGTATTTTTATAAAAATATTTTTCTAAAAACACCAATCTGGAGAGTGGTGAACGAGAGGGAAAAAAACCAGTAGGGCTCCACCCACCGCTGGAGGAGGACTCAGTCGTCCACTAACGTCCCTTAAGAAGAGGGCGGGATCGGGTGACCCGCGATGGGGAAGTATCGCGAGAAGAAGGAGTGTGCGTAGTTAGTAGAAGTCACTATGGTGACGGGGAGGTCGGGAGGCTTCTTGGTAACTGGTCCTAGCTTTGTGGGAGCAATCGCCACTGCTTTCCTGGAACTTAAGGTAAATCTCTTCACCTCTGGATGTGGTGAGGAAGGGGTTTGGAAATTGTGGCCATCAATGGACCCCACCTTACCTCCCTTAATAGTATATGTGACATAGAGCATCAGTTATTTTTCCATCTCCGTGGAGGCGGTGGGGTTCTGGACGTAGCTTTCGGGACGCGAAGCAGGAAGCCCTGAGTTTGGAAGGAGTAGAAAGACAAAAACAACAAAAATCCTGAATTGGTGAATGATTGTATGTTCTATATGTGATTAGCAAAATAATTTCGAATTCATTGGTGTTAGGTCGTTAGTGTCACTAGTGAAAGGGGATTTCGGGTTTTTGAAATCATTTGAAAGATTCCGTAACGGAAAAAATGATTTGTTGATGTCATCTGGTTATCTTCATGAGAAAATTATCGATCGGAAAATATTTCTTAAGTAACTCTTGAATACGTTGCACTGTGCAAGGCATAATCAGGATTATTAAGCAAGTATTCCTGTTCCAAGAGAACTTAGTTTTGTTAGTCGATTTTTAACCTGTAGTCTGTGATCCTGTTAGTAAGGTGATTGAGATTCAGTGGAATTCCTAATTAACCCTTCCTTTCCCCGTCCCCCCACCCCTTCCGCTGCTGAAACTGTAAACAGAATTCTGTGTGTTTGTGCTTTTTTTCTGGGGAGTTGGTTTTCCCAGAACTTTGATTACTTTCTCAAATGTGGTCCTAATCTCCTATTATGTTAACCACTGGTTGATTTGACTACCTCCAATAAGTATTTATTCAGCGACACTTAGTTGACTATGAGAACTGGGAGCCTTCCTTTCCCCTTTAACCTTTGCATACCTAGGGCCGGTCACAGTAAAGCTCCCATAAATCTGCTTTATAAATGAATTTATGTTACCATTCTAAGTAAGTAGTGTGAGTCTTGCCCCAGGAGCATAAAGTCAGGTTCAGTGATTCTCAAGTGGGGTGTGGAGGACACCCCTTGCGAACTGTTAAGAATTTGGTGAGGTTCAGAAACTGGTGTGGTTAGCAGGATCATTGACTCGGTACTAGAATACACATTTATTTATTTATTTTTATTTTTAATTTATTTTTTATCTTTTTAAAAAATATTTTTATTTGTCAGAGAGAGCACAAGCAGTGGGAACTGCAGGTAGAGGGAGAAGCAGGTTTCCCGCTGAACAAGAAGCCAGATGCCAGACTCAATCCCAGGACTCTGAGATCACGACCTGGGCCTGAGCCCAGGCAGACACTTAACCGACCGAGCCACCCACGTGCCCCTATTTATTATTATATTTACTTACTATATTTACTTAACATATAGTGTATTATTAGTTTCAGGGGCAGAATCTAGTGATTCATCTGTTTCATATAACACCCAGTGCTTATTACAATCAGGTACCCTCCTTAATGCCCATCACCCAATAGTATACCTTTATTTTTTAAGTTGAAAAAATTATTGTTTTCATAAGACAAATTACAGACAGTAAAACTCAATGAAAAAAATTTTTTGGCTGGTAGGCATATCAAGAAAATGTAGTGATTCTGTTTGAAAGCTTCTGGAGTCTTGAATTTTCAAAGTTTATAAAACACTACAAAACCTGAGTCAGAGAGATATCAATCGTGAAAAAAGCAAAGACTAGACCAAACTGAGTGATGTAAAAGAGTCATGGAGATGGTGTAGTAAAAAGATGTACCATAAGAAAATCCCAAGTCCCATCATTTTTTTAGCTACGTGCCTGGACAGTTTACTCACTTTATCAATCTCTCTGAGAATATTTATTATAAAAATCAGTATATAATGTCTGCCTCATGGGATTATTTATAATTGTCTAGCACACATGTGAAGCATTTGATATTACTGTGTTTATGACATTGACCTTATTAGGGCATATGCTAAGGATGAATAATGGGATGTCAAGTTAGAAAATCAGCTTATGAAGGGTCTTGAAAGCCAGATTGAGCATGTTAGATATGATGTAGAGGAAACACTTATTAGAAAAATTTTGAGCTAAGGAATGGCTTGGTTAAAAAAGAAAAAAAGTAACAGTAGTTAAGTGGGATGTGTTAAAGAGGAGAAAGACTTACATGAGGCATGGCTGTATTGAATTATTAGTATACAGTCTTCCATGTGGAGGGAGAAATGCCTACACAGTAGAATGGAAAAAAATCCAGGAACATTTGGGGGGAAAAATCTATAGCTTCTGAAGATTTTAAGGTTTAAAAGTCGAAACACCTAAAGTTAGTCGGATAATATTCTTTGTTGGTGAATCCCGAACTAGTGATGAGGAGAAAAAAAGAAAAACAAGTTATGGATAATTCCTAGTTTTACTGCCTTTGATGATTGCTATAAACAGCAGTAGGTCTTAATGACAGATGAGAAAGAAATGCAATTTCAATAAATCAATTAAGTAACCTGTTGATTTAGATTTAGTTCAACCTAACCATGCTCTACTCAGAAGAAATATTTTCAAAATAGCTTAAACCAGGTTGTATAATGTAGAAAAGATATTTATAACAAACAGCTACAGAGTAGACCTAAATCTAAAGTGAAAGTAGGACGCTTAGAATAAGTGAAGTGATTTGAGAAGAGATTAGAATCACAAGAAAAAGTCTTGATTGATCCCTTCCAATATTTTGGATACTTCTCATGAAAATAACAGAGTTTAGTTATAAAAAGAATCTGGTCAGATTGGGATGGACTAACTTAACAGTCATTTGGTAAAGTATAATCAAGTCTCCTCTTTCTGATCCAAAATCATCTAACAACTGTTATGTGTAATTTCAGGCAGTCAGAAAAGAACCCTCACTTTTTACTTTTTAAAAGTGAAATTGTACCACATAGGAAGAAATAAAAATAAATTTAAAAAGAATAGTAGAGTTAGAATTCAAATCCACATTTGCAATTCTTTAAGTGCATACTTAAGTTTTGTCATCATCATAATATATTTTTTTTATCTGTCTTCTAATGAGTTTCAGCATTTCATAAAGTCTGATATTAGATTTGTGGATAAATGTTTAAAAATATGACTCAAGTTTTTAGTTAATTGTGAGTATTTGGATTAATTGGATATTAACTAATAAATAAATAAATATGAATTTATATAAGTAATGAATAAATACTTAGAGAACATTGTTCAAAATTGATAAATTGTTTGGGGTGCCAACCCTAGGAGTCATGACCTGAGACAATGGCAGCTGCTTAACCACTGAGCCACTCAGGTGCTCCCATCTCATTTTCTAGATCATTGCACAGCACTCTGGCATATTGTTGAATATTATTATTTTTTATGCTAGTTGATGAATTAAAAGGATGAATTAAAGACGACTACGTATTTGAGATTTTCTGGCTAGAATTTATTAGGCCATACTGTAAAAGGATTATAAATACAGCAATATAAACAATTATAAAAGGCTGGCTCAGTTGGTGGAACATGTAACACTTGATCTCACGTTGTGGGTTCGAGCCCCACACTGGGTGTAGAAATTACTTAAAAATAAAATCTTACAAAAAAGATTAATAAATTGGCTGTAGAACAGGACAGATAGTAATGACTATTCCTCTTGATAATATAATGTTATTATACATTTACATATTATACATTTTATTTGTTATACATACACATAATATATATATGCATCCATGTGATATGTACATAAATACATTATACATTATATATTAGTACATGAATGTTATTGAAATTCTCACTTTTTTTTTTTTTTTTTTTAAAGATTTTATTTATCTGACACAGAGAGAAAGTACAAGCAGGGGGAGCAGCAGGGGGAGAGAGAGAAATAGGCTCCCTGCTAGGCAGGGAGTCTGAAGTGGGGCTCTATCTCAGGACCCTGGGATCTGACCTGAGCTGAAGGCAGATGCTTAATCAACTGAGCTAGCCAGGCTCCCTGAAATTTTCACCTATCTTAACAGAAGAAATAGGAAGTGAGGAAGTGGAATAGTGTTTTGGGGAAAGACTGTTTTGAAAAATGAGTTTGCTTTTATTCATGTCAGTCGGGATTAGGAAAGATATATCCAGTGGGAGCAGAGGCAAAGAATATAGCATAGGAAAGAAAATAGGATGAGGCAGTGCTATATGAATGAATAAAACATACAAATAGATTAGTTTTTTAAGGTTGTAAAGTGAGGATAGCTCCAGAAAATGTCCATTCTTAGACTCTAGGAAGAGAAATAATTATAGTAATGCCTCAGGATGGATTCTAGATTATAGGTGATAGAAAACCTAATCTAAATTGTCTTGAGAAAAAGGGAAGTTTTTCTTCCCCATCATTTATTTGAATAAAAGTCATGGGCCACCTGTGAAACAGTCTCTGCAAAGGGAATGGAATGTTCTAATTGGCTTAAGTCTCTTTCGTGCTGGCTTCATTGAAGCCACATGGGCTAAAAGTGGGGAAGTGGGTGTTCCAAAGAGAAAAATTCTTTGTAGCTAGGAAGAGTGACAAAAAACACCAATTTTCAACTATGTATAGCAAACAGTTATGTAATTTTTACTATGTTTCAGGCACTTCATTGGACATTTTACATACATTTAATTATAACCAACCTGTGAAATAGATATTATTAGACATATTTTATATAAGGAAGAAAACAATACAGTATCTGGAAGATCAGTAGGTAAAAGTTTCAATAAAAAGGGGTGAAGTGCAGTAGAGACTGAAGGGAATTAGAATGGTGATCCTATGAGAAAAATAACATTAGTTTTTTTTCAAATGCAGAAATGCATAAAGAAGACAACAAAACTGGGCCATAGTCTTATCACTCAGATAATCCTGTACTAAACATACAAATGTATAGATAAGTAAAATACTATGAACATAGTAAAAACTTCAAATGGTACAGAAACCTAAAATGATAATTAAAACCTTCCCTTCTCATCCCCGTGCACCTACCCTCACAAAGGTCTCCATTGTCTTGCATATCTTCCCAGAAAAATCTTTTAGAATCTTCTAGCTTAAATATAGTCCTTTTTATTTACACAAAAAGGATTGTGTTATATTATACTGC